GGCAGGCGAGGGCATCTAGCCAGGGAATGTCCAAAGCGAAACTCTCGCCAGAACAGGAGGGCACCACAACGTGAGCCAATCGAGGTTAATAACCAGGACTACAGCAACCGGAGGACTGGTAGGAGGAGCGGCAGGTCCTATACCAGCGGAGAATCTTCAGAGGAGGAGAGTTCCTGTTCCGAGCGCAGTGGCCAGGCAACGAGAAAAACCGAGGTAAGTGGAGGGAATCCTTGGAGGGAGGATCCTTCCGGGTCGAAAGTAGTAGCGGGACACCCACATACTGATTGAGGGTACAGCGACGGGCGGGGCGACCAAGGGAGTAATTTGATAATTAATAATAGCGTTAGGGGTAAACATCGGACTAGGTTGCCCGTGGCGAGGTTAGAGGAATCCGGAATCAAATTTTTGGTTGATACAGGGAGTACAAATTCGTTAATTAGCAAGAGGGGAGCGGAGAAATTAGGTATTTGGATCGGACGTAAACAGTGCAAATGTATAGTATCTACGGTTAGCGACAGATGTCAGACCTTAGGCGAATCCTCTTTGTGTCTTAGTGAGCTAACGGAGCGGGATTCGCATATAAAAATTCACATTATTGAGCAATTAATGCCAAGTTATGATTTAATTATTGGTTGTGATATTCTACAGCGAGTGGGTTTAAAGATGAGAGTTAACAATAAGGAGTGGTGTTATAAATTAGGGAAACGAATGTACCGAATTACAAAGAAGGGAAATCACGAAGACATTAAAATCGGGGCCGCGGAATGTACAAAACAGGCAATTACACATTTAGTGAAACAAAACAAAGAATTATTTTACAAAGAAAACGAAGTTTTGCCAACAACGGGGAAAACGGTACATCGAATTCACCTGAAGACAGAATTCCCAATCTACGTTAAGGATAGGCGGTATCCCCAAGCCATGAGAGAAATTATTCGAGAACAATTGGAAGAGTTACGGACACAAGGAATTATCAGATATAGCAATTCCCCGTTTAATAGTCCTTTATGGGTAGTTGAGAAGAAACCAGATGAACAGGAAGGTGAACCAAAGAAATATCGAGTAGTAGTAGACTACCGGAAGCTGAACGAAGCGACAAAAGACGAACGTTATCCTCTTCCTCGGGTAGAGGATATATTGGATCGACTGTCGGGAGCAAATATTTTCAGTACTCTGGACCTCAAAAGTGGTTACCACCAAGTTAGAATGGCGGAGGAGGATATCGGGAAAACAGCATTCTCATGGGAACGAGGCCATTTTGAATTTGTCAGGATGCCATTCGGGTTAAAAGGGGCCCCATTAACTTTCCAAAGACTCATGGACGAGCTACAGAGAGGATTAGGTGAAGATTTTTCCCAAGTCTATATGGACTACCTTATCGTTTTCAGCAAAACTGAGAAAGATCACGTTCAACATCTAAAGCAAGTTTTCAACAGAGTACGCGAATTCTGACTCAAATTATCCCGTGAAAAATCGGGAAATCCCCTGGTTGTCGCGGGAATTGGTAGTATATGCAATTGACGAAGAGGACATACCTACAGAAACTGAAATGGAGGAAATCCTTAGAACACAAATAGACAGATCACAAGGGATACCCGAAGTCAACGAGGTTATAAATGACAAAAAATTTCAAATTATCATAAAATCGAAGCAGAGTCCGGGACTGGGAACACACGCGAGTGTGTACGCGGGGTTATCAACGATTTTAGTCCATACACCTGCATCTATAGACGACTACGAGCTAGGGAGGATTTTCACAGAATTTAGTCAACGGGGCCGTACATGTTATCTTTATGTGAGAAATCGTGCAATTGTCGATAAAATGAAAAGATTATGGCGACAAGAGAGAATAGGAATGGGCTATTCACTCGTTAGGTGCTTACGACAAGTAGAAACAGTTACCGAACCGGCGGTACAACAGAAAATTGTCAATGATCACCGCACTGGCAAAACGAACCACCGGGGAATGGAAGAGACCCTGCGGGCGCTGAAATTATTATATTTCTGTAAAAATATGGGCCGAACGGTATGCGATTATATCGCAAAGTGTGAAGTCTGTCAGCGGGCGAAATATGATCGACAACCTCCGGTAGCTGAACAAGTAGCCTCGCCCACCGCACCAGAACCACTACGCTTAATACAAGTAGACATTTATTCTAACGAGGGTCAATCATGGGTAACAATGTTAGACACGTTTAGTAAAATCGCTTTGGCTCATCCCATTGAAGAGAAAAAAACCCCGAGCAGTATGGGAAGGGATTTTGCAATGGTGCGCGATTTATGGTGTGCCCGACGAAATTGTGTCAGACTGTGGCCGAGAATTTGACAATACCTTTATTCGAAATGAATGTAAAACGCTGGACATCACTTGGCGACTAAACACCCCCCATCACATCAAAGGGAGAGGTGCGGTGGAAAGATTGCACAACACTTTAGGTGAACACCTTAGATTATTTAAACTAGGAAGAAATTTGGATCCATTTGACGCTATGCCGCGAGCAGTGATTGCCTACAACAATACATGCTGCGACGGGTTTATCTCCAGTAGAAATCGTTTTTGGTCAAAGGCGACGCGATAGAGGAGATCTCATCACAACTAATAATAATAAATTATGGGAGGCATTATATCAAGCTCGAGTGGAACGACAGACGTCGTGGAAAAAAATTAGAGAAAAACTAATTCGCGAAAAACAGACTCGCGTGGACCGCGCGAATAATCGCTCCGTAGTTTGTAGCAAGGGTCCGTAGTTTATAACATTAGGAACAACTGTGTACAGGCGGCTGAGAACAGCGAGAAATAAAACTGCCGCACGCTACGAGGGCCCCTATAAAATTATAACCATCAGGGAGAATAATTTGTTTACCATTCGGGACGTAAAATACCCGTTCAGATCGCGTACGGTACATCTCGAAGAACATCGTGTACCCCGAGAAGTATCAGGTCTCGAGTCTGGCTGCGGCGCTCAACAAGAAACTCCACGTCGTTAAAAATCAGTAATTAGTTTTAATGTGTTTTGTACAATTTAGATAATTTTTTTTTGTTTCATATAATATTTTTTTGCTTGTATAAATATGTGTAAACAGTTCTGTTATTCTTCAAGTTTCAGATAAATGCAAGTATTTTCTGTTATCATTTAAATTTAAAATATAGACCAGTTTTTCTTTTGTTTAAAGTATTAGAGTTCCTCCTTAAGAAGGTACTGGAGGGAGGAAGTTAGCATAATATAAAATATGTTTTAGTGTTAAGATATATTAACATGTGATCGATTATTGATATTGATTGTTTTTGTTTGATAAGGTTAACCTGCAATAAAAAAGTTATAAAATGTCATTGCTAATATTGATTCAATCTTTCTCATACTAATAATCATAACTTTTTATATATATATATATATATATATATATATATATATATAGAGAGAGAGAGAGAGAGAGAGAGAGAAAGAGAGAGAGTGAGAGGGGGGGGAGGGGAAGAGAAATAGAAAATCATTTTTATTCTGGAACTATGTCTCTTAAGAATAACAATATTGTTTAAACCAATTCACAATAAATCCGGCCAGATGACCTATTATATTAAAGAGTAACTACAATCTAAGTAGTAAAATGAGTATATGCATAGTTTTGGAGGGTATATTAAGGAAAGCAGATGGGTACAAGGGTTACAATATTATAATATTGGTACAAAAAACAACATCATACTAATAACTAAATAGAATTGGAAAGAAATGCTAAATAAGTTTTATAGATAATCAATTTTAGTGCTACAATATAATAAAAAACAAAATAAATAAAAAAATAAAAATAAGAATAAAAGAAAATAACTAGAGTAAATAAAGGATTCATATATGTTCCTTAAGACGTTTAAGTGAAAACATATGACGATATTGTGAAAAAGTAACTAAAAACTTGAAAAATTCTGTAAATAATAAAAAAGAAATAGATAATTTTAACACTTTTTACGCGAGTTAAATTGAAAAAATATAAAAATAAGTATTGCTTAAAATAGCTCCACATAAAATATTAAGAAACGTAAATAATCTTTCCCTACTCCAATAATATCAGTCACTCAAGAGCAATGAAACTGACAACATGTGGGTTGACACTTAATATGGTAATTTAACATTATATAAATCTTTTAATAAGAAAAAATAATAAGAAGAATGTAATAAAATAGACAAGACGATCGTGATACTGGTTATTATGTGAAGACACATGTATTTCACATAAGAAGTATAATGATATAATGATTATGATAAATATAATGATTATGATAGGTAATTATATAAAAAATCTTCATATTTTAAAATATATGTGTTTTTTAGAATGTATTAATGATTATACGAATAATTATGCATAGAACATTTAACAAAATATTACTAGAAATCAATGTAAATTGAAGAAATTGCTTTTAGGCTTGAAAATGGCTCGACGAACTGAAACGTAGAAAGATTTTGTAGTAAAAACACTGGTGTAAGTTGGTTTTTGGCACCCATTGCTGTTATTGAAAAATATTAAGCGTTGGGGATTGTCTAGAACTGGCGAAAAGTGCTCATTTGAAGGGGGAATCCCTCGCACGCTCGCATATTCCATTAGCAGTGGTAATAAATAATGCAAGTGAAAAAATTATACGTCCCATTTTGAAGTATAATCAGTACATGAGGCGGTAAACTGCAAAAATCTCTTTAAAAATACATTCATTAATCCTGAATAAATAAACCCTGAACGGGTTCGGACAACTCAATTGAATGATGATAAATTATAGCAGGAAACATTTTTAATCTAAACTAATGATACAAAAAAAAAAACCTCTCTTGATTATTAAAAAAAAAAAGGAGGCAAGATGTAATATTACACAGTTTGTATATGATTCATATTTCACCGAACTTTATTTATTATTATCATAAATCAAGGAAAATATTTCTCATACTAGAATCTATTTCTTATGGCATTTTATAATAATATTTATTGTTTAATTTGATTGATTATTTTAATTTTTGCAGTTGAGGCAGACTGTCAATAATATTTATCAAACTGGGTACTCGATATCGTTAGTAGCTCTCTTACTATCTCTCTTCATACTGTCATATTTCAAGTAAGTATCTTTATCTTATTATTCAATTATATCCTTTTATTTATTTCAAAATTTTACCGTATAATATCAACTTCGGAATTTCACTGAATTCAATGTGTATTTTTTAAATATATTTATAAGTTTTTTTATTTAAACCGAATTCCTTATTAGAAGTAAAATTATTATTTTTTTGTATTTATATTTTTTGGATTGTGTTATTATTATCATTTTACTGATAATCATGAGCACTCAATATCGCCAATAAATTTGCTGAATGGAAAACTTTATAAAATATTGTAAGTGAATATGTGTACTCGAAACGAATATAAGAGTGAAAGTGGAGAATATAAACATTTTTATGTTTAAAAAGCCCTTGAAATTAGTTTAGTTGTAATGGTTCGCTTTAAGGAAATCTATCGATAATCCATCAACCATTTGGTGATGACAGTTATCTCAGAAAGAATTGTAGATAAAAGAATAATAATGAATTGTTATTATTAATTAACATTGTTACACTTTCACACTTTTTTATTGTATTGAATACTTAATAGTTGACCGTTCTATTATAGAGGATGGTCCGGGGTTGCGGTCATAAATAGACTGAAATAGTGGCAAAACTATTTTATTTCAAGCCAACGTTTCGACCCGACTTTGTAGGTCTTCTTCAGGTGATCGGTGCGGTGCAGATGAATCTTTTTAGTTAAAAAATAGAAAATCAACATTAATATTTATAATATCCAAAATATTTGTCTTGGGGTACGAAAACTATGATTTAGATATTAATGTATAATTATTTGAAAAAGTATAATTTATGTGATCAATCTTCCATCATACCAGATGTATCCATACTAGATAATTTGTTTTCTTGTAATCAGTAATTTTAAACAATTCCATTATAATTACAAACTACAACTCAAATATTCAGGCAGTGTAAATAATATTCTTCAGGTAAGCTCAAAAGTCGAATGAACTATTTTTTCAAATGATCAAACACATTTCGGTTTCTAAGATAAGATCAAACGGAATTTTAAATGCTTCAAAGCTTGCTCATTTAAAGCCGTGCAGATTCAAATATTGACGCTCAGCCTGATGAGAAATTCTCATTTTTTCTATGAACTTCAAGATTCTCATCTTTTTCTAACATATGGGATACTAAAAATATACAATCCGTTAAGGTTTAAGAATGAAGAGTTTAAATAGATTTTGTTGATCAGTTTGATTCTTAAAACACCGACTGCTTAGTTAATAACTGATTTATAAAGACTTTCAATAACTTTTTCATAAGTTCTGGAACCAAATCCTCTATTTACATATTTTAAGCACTCTTTTGTATTTATATTTATATAAAGTTACTATAATTTAAAAATAATAATAATAAATTCTATCGGAAGCCCTCACTTGTATTGTTAAACAAGAAAGTTTTGGGCAAGCCTTACAACTCAAATTTTTCTTAAGCTCTGTGACAGTTGATTGGATAAAGTGCATCCACTCAACTAAGTATTTTAATTTTTTTTTTTTTTTTAGTAAATTATTTTATCTTTCCAATTTTTTCAGTTTAAAGTCTTGATAGGCAATATCTACTTCATAAACAGAACGTCACGTCATGACCAAAATATCCCATTTGTCTTTGACGTAATTACATTTATATTCAATTTTATCAAAACTTTGTTTTGTTATTCGTCATTTTATTACGTTATCACAATCCCTATTGAGCTCAAACCATCCATATAATCTTCCACGAAGGTTGAAATGGTAATGGGGCTGAGACCTTTTTTGAATAATGTTACGTACCTCTTTGGGAGAGAAGTTTATACAATATCATGTGTTCTTTTTATGAGTTGGACAATTCTTGTTTTGCGATTTCTTATTGTTATGGATAAAGTAAATATACTTCAAGAACTGTGTTTCTTGAAAACAAAACATTGGCGACGAGGATAAATTTCCGACCATCTGTCAAATGTTAGTGAACAATTCTGTAGTAAACTTAAATTCGTCGGCTTCAATGACCAATGACAAAATGACCACTATTGGTAAACTTTCAGAATTTCGACCTGATGGCAAATGGGAATTCTTAGCGTGATCGAAAAGCTTTGGAACTTGTCAATGCCGTTAAAATCTATCATCAATACCTAATTCATACTTTTCGCGCATCATAATCCACTTTTGGAAATTTTTAATCCGCATAAGAAGATGCCTGATGTCGACTCCATGAAGTACAAACTCTATTGTCAAATCCTAGACACTTACGACTACAAATTATGATATCGACCGGCTGCACAGCATCGCAATGTTGATCTTCTTTCAAAGCAAACACTTAAAAATTAAATTAAATTAAATATATTAAATTAAACAAGAACCTATTTCAGTAATGATGCTTGAAGGAATCACTAGATGTCCCATAAATGCGGCTGAATTGCGAAGGCCACAGTCAAAGATCCCATTTTAAAGAAAATTTCAACCTGGATTAATAATAGTTGACTCTCTAGGATACCAAACTAATTTCATAATTTTTGAGTATGCGGTAGTTATTTTTATTTATTTTATTTTATTTTATTGAATGATAATACAATCTACCTCATGATGGGCGACAAGTATTAGTGCTACAAGAGTTCATTCATACAAAAAAAAAAACAGGAAACAGATATAAATAATTAAAAAAATATACATAACTAAATAAAAGTAATCTTCTTATACCTATTAGATACAATATCTACATTCGTCCAGAGAACTCCGAGCCAAGCTTTGTCCTCCACATGTGGGAAACAAAGAAAGACTCAAAAGTTCTCAGTTCTTCTCTTCCAGCCGCGCCACTGATATTAGAAGTCTGTTGAAACTGAAAGAGGGTGCTGGGGCCACAGACGCTCAGGTCTTAAGTGGAGAAGCCGGCCATTACCAAGACTCCAAAAGAATATTTACAAAAGGTGTCGGGGCCACTGCCGCTTTAATCTTCGAGAGGGGTTATAGGGATGGTCGTACTGCATAGGGATTGAGCTAGAGGGTTAGGTTAACGAATAAGATTCTATGCGGTTTTAGCGCTCTCACTGGATTTCAATACTATTTTTTTAGGATTTCAATCTCTACTGGATTGAAATACTAGTGACGTGGCTGGGAGAGAAGTACTGGGATCTAAATATAAATATAAGCTGAGTGTTAGTCTATATACGATATTTATTATTGGTTTAATGTATTTTTTGCTATTTCTTATTATTATTTATTCATTTTAGTTGTTTTATTTACTTTTTTTTTCAAACTGTATTTTAAGTTGTGTATATATGGTATAAATGAACACATAGAGTCGTAATACCTATAATCCTTGATTGTGGCAAATTGTATTTTTTTATTAAATAAAAATAAATGAATGATTACAAAATAAAATAATTTTTTTTTCTCATTTCAAGAATTTTCGAAAATAAATTCATTTGAAGAGTACAATCTGTAAGGCAGTATTGACCAGTACGGCGGCGGTACCAGCAGGAGAACCATTACCCCGTAAATCTTCGTTGTGTTGTCACCCTTTCATACCTCTATCAGGACCATCTGTCTTCATTCGTTAGCTCCAGATGTATGGTCCATTTCCATTGCGGCTTTATCATTCTTCTCCCTTCAGCCTTGTTTAATTCTTCTTAGCTATTGTTGGAAAAACCTAACTCTGGGCATGATGATGTGGTATCTTCATCGTTTTTAAAAGTCGACGTTTATCGTATATTTTTGGAATACAGTTTTAAATATTAAACACTATTATTCTTTTATTTATTTCTACATTTTGACATTGAAATAAACCTACAATATTTTTTTTCTTGTTGCGATGATAAGAAAAAACGCTTATCTACATGAAATCACTAGATCATTGACTTCCTTGATCTTTGATAAGTTAGTAATCCCCACTTAATTTATCATAAATCTTATTTTTATAAATAAGCAATATTACTGAATTCTTCTTCGGTGCATGCTATTTATTTTCAAGTTAATTTATTATTAGCCTTATTTACACCAATTTAATAAAAAATTTTGTCACTTAATGACTACTCATCACATTGACGACGTTTCGGCTCGTCGAGCCATTTTCAAGTCTAAAAAATTTTTTTCATTTACAATCATATATTAACTTTAACATATTTCAAATTATAAAGATTCTTATTATGTACCTAAAAGGCTTAAACAGCATAAACAAAATTGTAATTCAAAAAACACAAAAATTAAATTAGCTACTGGACTCTCTCAACATAATATGCCAACTAAACATGAATTCGATTTCAAAAATGCCAAAATCCTACATAATGAAAGAAATACGAATAAACGTAGAATTAAAGAAGCAATATACATAACTAAAAACTTAAAAAACTCAGTAAATAATCATATAGACGTGGATAATATGAATACTTTTTACGCTAGTTCAATTGAAAAAATCAAAATTTGAAATACTTAAAACAGATCCACATGTAAGATTGAGTAACATCATTATATATGTTCATAATAAATAGTCTTCCACTACTCCTATAAGAATAACCAGTCACGGAATAGAAATGAGTGATGACATGTGGGTGACTCAGAAACAAGGTAATTTTAACTTATTTCGAATCATTTAATAGTAAAGAATTGAGTAATAATAATGTTGTTAAATAATTAAAGGTGAACATGACAATAATAAGGAATTTTATTATGAGTAGACGCTTGCAATTCGCATAAGTGAAAATGACAGGTACATGATGGGTATTTTAGATACATAATAAGAATCTTTATAATTTGAAATATGTTAAAGTTAATATATGATTGTAAATGAAAACATTTTTTTAGACTTGAAAATGGCTCGACGAGACGAATCGTCGTCATTGTGATGAGTAGTCATTAAGTGACAAAAATTTTTATTAAATTGGTGTAAATATGGCTAATAATAAATTAACTTGAAAATTTATAAATAAGTTTTTAATGATTAATTTTAAAAATTCCGGAAACAGTCAAATCTAATGATTTAGATAACAAATTCGCTGATAGATTCAATACCAACTGAATTGAGTAATGTT